TTCTCCAGCACCACAGTTTAAAGGCATCAATTCTTTATTTATCATCCTTAGTCATTGCCCAGCTCTCTGACACATAATAAGTAATTGCAAAGACCAGTGCCTCGATCAGGTGCGCTTTAGTCTCCAGAATGATACTGTTGCTCTTCAATACTCTGAGGAATTAATTCCCTTACAGTCCATTTTCCCAGTGTAGTTTAGATTGAATAATTGTGGAGAAATGATATAACCCTGATGCATACTTTTCTTTATTTTAAACTATACATTGTTCCCTTACCTTGCTTGAACAACTGCTTCTTGGTATATGTGTGGGTTTCAAATGAGCACAAGTAAGTGTTCTGGGATTCCCATTTTTCTGATTGTCACCCACACTTTGTTACTGTACACAGATAAATATCTTTCTGGTACTCTCTGCATTCAGCTAAGATCTATCTAACATCAGCAATGATATTTCTTGTGTCATAGCCTCTTCTGAATCCAATTTGGATTTCTGACATTTCACTTTTGATGTTCTGTTTCAGTCTTTTAAAATAATCTTAGCAAGCTTTTACTTGCCTAACATATTAATGATATTGTTCAATGATTTATACTTTCTGTTGGGTCACCTTTTTCGACAATGGAAATAAATATGAAAATCTTCCAGAGACACAGTCAGGTGGCTGCTTGATCTTCTTCAGCAGGTGCTTCAACTCTTCTTCACTTTCTGCAAGCAAGGTTGAGAAATTTACATAGTTTAAGCTCTTCCAAATTTCCTGACATAGACTAGTAAACTCATTCAGAGCTGTGTCTGTTCCTTTTAAAAAGTCAATTGGTATTCATAAGGCCTTTGTTTCTTTATGTCATTATCTTCAGTGTAATGTGAATTTTTTTCTTTCATGACCACTGGTTCTTGATCATATTCAACTTTTTTAAAAGTTTCAGTGTCAAACACGGTTTTGTGGTACAGTGATTCTGTATATTCCTTCCAAGTTTTTTGTTGTGGTGGTGGTTGTTTCTGTGTGTTGTGTTGTCTTTTTTTAATGTTTTCTGAATTGTTTAAGATTCTGTCCATAGAAATTTTCTGTATTGATACTCAAAGCTTGAATTTTTTTTCCCCCTTCTTTCAGCTTGAGAAATTTTGAGCTTGGTCTTCTCTTTTGATTTTATAATGTCAATTCTTTTCATATTTCATTATAATGCATTGCTCCGCTATTATTTATATAACTACATATGACATGGAAGCACAGTGATGGATGGAGAAGAGATCAATTACAGTTTGCTCGGCTCAAAAATCAACCACCTTGCCACCAGCAGTCAGGATATTAAAAGACTCATTTCACTGAGAAAATATACCGTCAGGGACATTTCCAGAGTACTGAGAAGCAGTAATGTCAGTCTAGAGACTAAGGTGCACCTAATCCAGGCCATAGTCTTCCTGATTACTTGCTATGCACCAGAAAGCTAGACAATTGCTAAGTATGACAAAAGTAGAATTGATGCTTTTGACTTGTGGTGCTGGAGAATAGTCTTGAACATACCATGGACTGCCATGAAAACTAATAGTTCTGTCTCCGAGAGAGTGACACCAAGTTTCTCCTTGGAGGCTAGGATTTTGAAGCCCTGTCTCACATACTTTGGGCATGTGGCCAGGAGGAAACAGTCATTGCAGAAGGACATCATGCTCAGAAGGGTGGAGGGACAGAGACCCCAGATGAGGTGGACTGATACAGTTACAGGGCAATGGGGGTAGGTGTATCAGAATCAGTGAGACTGGCTCCGGACAGGGCGGGTTTCAGAGCTTCTGTACACAGGGCCATTATGGGTCACAAATGACTCGATGGCATATAACAACAATATAGCAAAATGAGGCTATTGAAATAATGTGTGCATTTCTAACTTTTCAAACACAATTATTAAGAGTATGAACTATACAGGCTGGAGAACAAGATTTATATGATATTAATATTTTTTCTTTAATAAAATTAAGATCATAAACTGAAAAGTGGAACTCTTGCTTAATGACTCAAATCTTTAATACAAAGTTATATTTAAAAATTCTAAGTCTGGTAGACTTTAAAGTGCAACTTATAAATAAAAAAACAGTGCATATAAGTTGATTGTATTCAGTGAACTTCTGCATTTAGAAAATAATCAGAACACTCAAATTTTTTCAGATAAAATGTTTATTAAATAAGCATTCTTTTACCTTTCTGGAATAGCAATCCTTCAAATTCATGATAAAATGTGTATAAAATAGCAGATTACATATCTACAATATATTAAAATATCGTTTTCCTTATTCTATGAACTTTAAAACAATTCTATTGAAAAATCATCCCTAGCTGCTTGATGTAAAAAAAAAAAACGGCACCTTATTTCAGATTTTCATTACTTTCTAGGTGAAGTGGTCTAATTAACTAAACTGTACTTTGAGCTTATTTTTATCCATAATATGTATGAAGATTTGAAATAGTTTCTCAATAATTCTTAATTATATTAACCCTGGAAACAATAGTTACAGTGTTTGGCTACAAACTGAAAAGTCAGCTGTTGAGACCAGATACTCTGAGAGAAAATGTCTAGCATACTGCTCTCACAGAGATTAAACCATCTACCTTTAAGTCAAACCAATGTCTTCAATTGGTTTCTAAATCTGAAAACCTTTGCCAGAAGAGATTGTCCATTTTCCCTCCCACGAAGCAGATGGTGTTTCTGAATTCCTCACTTTTTGAGTAAAAACTGAAAGCGTTATGCCACCAGATGACCTTTCCATAAAGATTAAGACCTTGGAAGCCGTATGGTGTCATTCTCTTCTGTCCTCTTAGACTTTTATGACTCAGAATTACTTTACAACAAACAGCAAAACTAATACTTAAACTAATATTTTTATATGTATCATATTCATGGGAATCTCATACAAAACATATTTTCTTTTAAATACTTAAATCTTATTTTTTGTTTTCATAAATTTAATCTGAATGTCACATGTTCTGCAGTTTCTAGGACATTATTCGTAAGTCTTTCATTTTTATACTTCATATATTTCCCAGTGCAATCATGCACTCAGAGAAATTAGATTGAAACCCAGAGCAGCAAGAGCTGTGGGGTTGCTTCAGCAAATTCTATTCTGTTCTCTCTGCTCTAAAATCATTTGTAGCCTGAAATCTTGGGCATTTTAACAGATATTTGCTTATGTATTAGGGGCATATCTGTCTTTCTGTGGGGATGGAAGCCGAGCTCCATGCAAGAGACAAATACTATTACAAGACAAACTAAGTAGAAGCGATGCCGCATGCCCAATCAACTTAGCCTCTCGGCTGTGTGCATCTTCAAAGTAGTCACTAGGGTATATATTTAGTCTGTAGCTAGTCCATTGAATTGCATTCCCATCCAGAAAATGATTGTCATAAAGCTTTGTCTTATTACTGAGAAATACACTACAGCAAGTAGCTACAAAAAGAAGGTGTCCTGGGAGAAGCCTGGCTGTTCAGGTAGATGCCTCTGGAAAGCTGCCAACAAGGCAGACTCTGGTGAAAGTTGCATTATTTATTTATGTCAAAAAGTGTAAAGAAGCTTGTTCTTGAGAATTGAATAAAGTGCTTTCATATAAGTTCTATCTTAGCTTACACTCTGTTATGCCCTTCAATCAAGATCAATGGACTCCCCCTGTCAACATAGCAGAGGTCCAGAATTTTACATGTACTGTGTCCTGTATAGAATTCTTAAAGAGATACTCAAAGTATTACACTTCTTTCAAAATATTATATCGCATAAAATGAAGTAAATTCACCATAGTGACTTCCAAAATCTTCCTAGTTATTTTCCTAGAACCTATTGATTGTGAACCCTAGGTTAGTGGTTGCTGAATTAGGAACTCATATGCATGTTTTTAATTAAAAATTAAATTTTGTTAACATCTTTTAAAATCACAAAATAATCAGTTACCATTATGGAGAGAGAATAAAACAGCAAAGCTTTTATCCAAAAGAGTACAAAATTGTCCACAGTAATAATGGCCTGCCCATATACATTCCAAAGGGGTTCTGGTAGTACAATGCTTACGTATTTGCATGCTAACCAAAAGATCAACAATTCTCACTTAGCAGCCATTCTATGGGAGAAAGAAGGTGATTTGTTTCTGCCATTAAGATGACTCTTACTCAGAGATAAGGAAGAATAGAACTACCCCATAGGGTTTCCAAAGAGAATTGTGGTGGCTTAGTCCTTAGAGAGTTTTGCTACTAACCCAACTATTTCAATTCACCAGAAACTCCTCAGAAGAAAAATGGCCAACCACGTCCTATGTTATTTACATCTCAGAAAACACACTGGAGGATCAACTAGAACCCAGTTCTGACTCAACTGCAATGAGTTTTTGAGAATATTTAAGTTAGCAGCAAAGCAATTAATCATGGAGCCCTCAAGATTGATTCCTTAGAGAATTATCACAGCCTCACAAAGCTATGGAATAGTTCTACTCAGTTCTATAGGATTACTGTAAATTGACATGGAATCAAGTACAATAGGTATACTCTACAATAGATTATTATCAAAATGAAGTGCCAAGAACTGAATCTGGTAGATAACAAATCCCACCCAACACTCAACATGTGCCTTAAAATAGTCTCAGCTCCCTTTTCCTGTTAAAAAAAAAAAACCCAACCAAACAAACAAAAACTTAATTTTGTGATGGACACAAAGAAATTTTTTATTTTATTTTAGAGGAGTTTATGAGGTTTTAATTATTTGTTTTTAAGATACAAAATGTCAATATTAGAATATTCTGTAAAGAAGAAAATTTTAGTATAAAGAGTAAAAAAGAAAAGAGATGATGATAATCAGACTCCAGATGAAAAATAATTATTAAGTTCTGTGGTAGTAGTAAATGCGGCTTACATAATACATTATACATTATTATACCTTACATTATACATCTTACCTTTATTTATTGCCTCAGCAGAAACTATTTAATCTATGCCCATATTGTATTTTCTTGCTTTCTTTGTTTCCTTATTGGCACTCAGGAAGGAGATAAACAACTTATAAGGGAAACATCCATTCATCAGTTGAATTCAGAGCGCTATGTACATACATTCAAAGATCTATCTAATTTCTCAGGACTCATCAACGTTACCTACCGCTATCTAGCTGCCACCCCTTTACAAAGAAAGCGTAAGTATTCTTAAAGTTTTAAAGAATACATAAATACATGAAACAATGACAAACTACTTCATTTGTATAACAGTTAAAATTTAAGAGATTTACTAAGATAATAAATTATTTGGAAAGATTTCAGTGGTTCCTAGGTTTTTAATAAATATATCCTAAGAGTGAGTTTCTACTTGATTAATTTTCTTTAATAACCATACATTAAAGTGACTAAATATAAACATTTTTATAGTTTTCTATACAAAAGCAAAGGAAAATCAATTTGTTAATATTAGTACTAAATATTTCCATATTTTTAATTTTACAATCTTCAAAGAATTGATTTTTTTTTTTTTTTACTTACTACTTGTTTTGGTTTTTGATGCCTTTGAGCTGTGGTGCTGGAGAAGAGTATTGAGAATACCATGGACTGCTAGGAAAACAAACAGATTTGTCCTGGAGAGGGTTAAACCGGGTGGCTCCTTGGAGGCAAGGATTCTGAGGCTCTGTCTAACTTACTTTGGACATGTTGTGAGGAGAGACCGGTCCTTAGAGAGGGATATCATGCTTGGGAGGGTGGAGGGACGGCGCAGGAGATGAAGGCCCTCTATGAGGTGGATTGATTCAGTGACTGGGATAATTGGGATGGGAGTGTCAGAGACAGTGCGATTGGCACAGGACAGAGCGGAGTTTAGGGCTGTTGTACATAGGGTCGCTATGAGTCGCAGGCGACTCTACGGCACATAACAACACAACAACACTTGTTTTGGGTTATTTACTTTTTTCCCCCTTTAATTAGTGAAAATTATTGTTATTGCTTTTTTGAGACCAAGAAACAATATGCTGTATTTCACAGATTCTAAACCCTCAACGATAGAAAAGGATCATTATGTAATGTAACCCTCTGCCAACTACACTAATTACGCAAATCGGTCCAGGGAGATTAAGATCAATTTCTCACATGCCAAATTTTGTGTTGAATAATAAATCTCACTGTACCATTCAACTGTGTCATATAGAAATCTCAGCTTCCTTCCATGTTCAGTTCAGACCCCAGTTACCCACAAAGACTTTCACTCTCTGTCTCTCTTATTCCCAGTCATCTATGGCTTTGTCAGTAGGTACCGGCCACAAGCTGAAGAGTAGAGATAACACCTACTTAAAACTATTTGGATCCCTTACTCCAGCATGCTTGATACCTTTGCTGAAATGACTCATAGAACCTACAGATAATATACCAGACCAGCACAGATTATTACAAGGGGCAAAAGTTGCAAAACAACAAGAACAACAACAACAAAAACAACACAGCACATAGGGTGGAGTTTGGAAAAGGTCATAGAATGAAACAACTAAGTAAAATTATCATTACCTATTTTTATTTTATCTATTATTATGTCACCAATTAAAATATACAACCTGATTTTGGAATGTTAGTAGCTTGAAAAAAGAGTTTGTGACTGCCACTTGAAGAAATCGTAGCAAAAGTAATTTAGATTACTTTTAACTTGCTTACATCCCTGACATTTCAATTTTCTAAGCTCTTTATCCTCTTTATAATTGTATAAAACTGACACTATTATTTTATATCAGTTACCTTTAATCAAATGGTACTATTTTCATAATGTGTCTTGCTAAGATTAATAACACAATATTTATAAGAAGTCTCAGGTCAGTGTGGTCCTAAATACTTAACCAACTATTGTTGTGTGCCATGGAGTCAGATCCACCTATAGATGCCCTCTGGGTGGGTTTTCAGAAGCAGTTAATTGCATGGGAAGAGATTGCCTATTCCAAGGAGCAGCTGGTGGATTTGAACCATGTGCTTTCCGAATTGCAGCACAGCTTCTTACCACTTGGCCACCAGAGCTCCCTTAACCAATTCTAAGTGTCCATAATTTCAAGTGGCGAGCTCCCTCTGTGGCTCAGTTCTCTAATTCCTCTACAGCCCTTGGGTTCAGATTCTCTAGAAGTTCTCCCAGAGACACAGATCCATAAGGGGAATGATTCACATGACCATGGGTAATAAGCTGGTTTTGGAGAAACTGGGGAGGCCAGGTGGAGAAGTGATCGGCCAGAATCTTGAATGAACACTGTCACTTGTGACACCACTAGATGGTGACTGGGCATGATAAAGGCTGGTCATGTAGACACTGGTGAGTAGGTGGAAGCTATGACCCAGGAAAGAGAGTTTTTCCAAAGGAAAAGTGTATGTGACATTGAGGTCCTATGAGTTTATATAAACCTCTACTACCATCTAAATAAATACCTACATTCTTTAATGGGTGTGTATGAAAATATTAACCTTCAGAATAATGTGAACCATCATTAAAAAAATAGTAAACAATTGTTTGTGCTGATAGATACATTAATGTACTGAGATGCACATTATCCATCATAGATAGTCAGTTAGTTATAAATCATTACTTTTATATAGAAAGCTTAATAAATTAAGAATTATTTATATATTTAAAACCCCCAAATTCACTTCTATTGCATTATAACTGACTCTAAGTTGACCTCCCAACCCTTCCAATAGGGTTTTAGAAGCTATAAATCTCAGAAGAAGAGTTTCCCAGGGTTTCCCCTGGAGAGTTACTGGTGAATTGAAGACCAGAGAGGCAACAAAATGGATTAACAGCAGGACTCCTGGCCAGTGGGATATCAGATTTCCCTTTCTGAAATTCACTCAGTATCATAGCATATCTAAGGGCAGCATTATCTTTGTTATCTCTCTTTTTTTTTCTCCTTTTGCTATACTTTCTAAAACATTTTAATTTCTCTTCCTTCTTCATTCTTTTGCTCAGGGTATCTTACAATTGGACTTTCATCAGTGAAGAGAAAAAAGGGAAACTATTTACTTGAGACAATCAAGTCAATATTTGAGCAGTCCAGTTATGAAGAGCTGAAGGAAATTGCAGTGGTGGTTCATCTAGCAGATTTCAATTCATCTTGGCGTGAGGTCATTGTCCAGGATATTACCCAGAAATTTGCCCACCATATTATTGCTGGAAGACTGATGGTTATACATGCTCCTGAGGAATATTACCCAATTTTGGATGGCCTTAAAAGAAATTACAATGATCCAGAAGATAGAGTTAAATTTCGCTCCAAGCAAAATGTGGATTATGCATTTCTACTTAATTTTTGTGCCAATACTTCAGATTACTATGTAATGCTTGAAGATGATGTGAGATGTGCAAAAAATTTCTTAAGTGCAATCAAGAAAGTAATTGCATCCCTAGAAGGAACTTACTGGGTAACTCTGGAATTCTCTAAGCTTGGGTACATTGGAAAACTCTACCATTCTCATGATCTTCCACGTCTGGCACATTTTTTACTAATGTTTTATCAAGAAATGCCTTGTGATTGGCTATTGACTCACTTTCGTGGTTTGTTGGCACAGAAAAATGTGATCCGTTTCAAACCATCTCTCTTTCAGCACATGGGTTATTATTCATCATATAAGGGGACTGAGAATAAATTGAAAGATGATGATTTTGAAGAGGAGTCATTTGATATTCCTGATAATCCCCCTGCAAGTCTATACACCAACATGAATGTGTTTGAAAATTATGAAGCCAGCAGGGCTTATAGTAGTGTAGATGAGTACTTCTGGGGGAAACCCCCTTCAACAGGAGATGTGTTTGTTATTGTATTTGAAAATCCAATTATAATTAGCAAAATTAAAGTGACTACTGGAACAGAAGATCGGCAAAATGACATTTTGCATCATGGAGCTCTAGATGTAGGAGAAAATGTTATGTCTAGCAAAAAAGGGACACAATGTGTTACTTATTTAAGACTAGGGGAATTTAAAAATGGAAACTTTGAAATGTCAGATGTGAATCAAAAAGTTCCATTTGATGTTCATTGTATGAGGATATACGTCACCAAGACACAAAAAGAATGGCTGATTATCCGAAGTATTAGCATTTGGACTTCTTAGGCAATCAAATCAAAATATTCAATTACTGAAACAGGTCTTCCTGTTTGCTTTTTTGCTACCTTCCTATTTTGTTACCTTTATCTTTAGGAGGGAAAACAGGAGGTGAATTAAGTGATAAGGAAAGTTCTAATTATGTTGGTGTTTTGATTTAAACATTGTCAACCTAATTTTACTTTAATCCACATTTGTATTTAACTTCAAAATGGAATACCATCCCATTGTTAATGATGCTTTCATATATATTAATATGTGTATATTAATATATAGTACATAAACATCAATGTTATCATAGTTGTTTGAAAATTACAAAAGAGTGGTATAGCAGATATAAATGGTAAAATGCATTTTGTTGCATACTGAGTATTGAAATTGTTGCCAGTGTTTGCACTTATTTAAGAGATGATAACTCATTATATCAACACATAAAACTTATTAAGCATCTATGTGAAGATGCAGTTGGTTAATATGATGGTCATTGTTTTCTTCCCTTATAAACTTAGGTTTCCATTGAGTTCTGTATGTCCACAGTGAGTATGTCTTCACAGAGTTGGTATCTTACCTACATATTTTGTCAGTAAATGGGCCTATGGAAGGAGAGAAAAAAAAATAAAAATGTATCCCCACTTTATCTATACAAATGGGAAAATTGTGCATTGATATAAAATATTCACTTGAACATCTATTGTTAATAAATTTCTTGTGGGGAGCAGTCTTTTTCTAGTATCCCTTTTGAAAAAAAAAAAGGAAAAAAGTCTAAGCTGGTTATTTTCATGTTACATTGGGTATCTGCATTTACTAGAAAAACCAGAGAAGGTCTATAGGTAATCTTGAAGATATTTGCAATACAAGCAAGACCATTTTTGAAATTGATTTTTTATGTTTTATATTAAAATTCATGTGACTGAAATTATTGTGAATTATCATATACTTTTTTTGGAGTTAATAGTTATCTTATAAAGGAGAAAAGTAGAAAGCACAGAATATAGTTGACTTTTCTTTTGTGTGTGTGTACCATCAAATTGGATCTGACTGAGAGATTACCTCTCCTCAAGCAGAGCATCTGGTGGATTTGAACCGCGTACCTCTGGGATTGCAGAGCAGCTTCTTGCTACTAGGCCACCAGAGCTCAGAATTTAGTTGACTTTTCTAGACTTAAAAAATTATTATATGGCATTACATAATAATGAATTACTACAGTACAACAAAGCAGATGCTCTGATATTCAGGCAGTACTCATTCTCATGTATAAAGATGGTGCCAAGTAGAAGTATGTTTTCTGTTCTCTACTATTTGAATTTCATGTAATTAGTCTTAGTGTCCGGAAAGAACTAATTTTTTTTTTCTATGATCATGTCATTACATACTAGAATGACACTAAAAAAATCTAAGTGATCCTTTTGCAGTTTATACACCCTAGTGGCAAGAAAAATGAATTACATTTAATATAAGAGCTACACAGTTGTTTTTATATCTTCATATATGTGATGTTGGACTATATAGGGTAGTTTGAAGACATTGGTTTTTCAGAACAAACTGTATTTTCTTCTCTGTTCAATCACTTGATGTAGTTAGGATGGATGTAAACAGAATGGTTTATATGTGTTTATGGAAACAAAAACATGTTTCTAGGCATTAATTCATCAGCGTAGCTGCATATGATGAAGATAATATGTTTCATGATAATGAGAAAGAATAAGGAATTTTTTTCTTCTCTCTCTGGCACCTTGAAACACAATACTGCAATCCAAAAAAGAAAGAAATTATTTTGTTACTATCAAATAAAGTTTAAGTTACAGGGTATGATTTTTCAAAATTAGGAAATCTTATTATTCTTACAGATTAAACAATTTTGTCTCTTTTTAGCATACATTTATAATCATGTGGAATTAAAAAATATAAACCTGTTTTAAAGAAACTATTAATATCATTTGTCCATATAAGGCTCAAAATCTTAATATGAGCATTGTCACTTAAATATTATCTTCGTCTTTAGTATTATATCTATTTCTCAGAAATTTTTCTGCACTCTCAATAACAAAAGGTAGACAATTATATTTCACAAATATAATATCAAAACCTATGCAGATTCCATGAAGGAAGCTATACATTTTTATTTATTCTTCTATGAATTTGAATCCAAACAAAATGTTTGAACAATGGTCACTGATGGTTACAGTGAACATTGGTATTTTTAGATTACTACAAATGCAAATGAACAGGTCACACTGAATATGGATTTTATACAAGCTAATCAATCAATTATGATGTATCTATGTTTTCATTACAGGTTATTACTGGGTCAGCATTTTAAGTAAAACACCTTGAGACAGAACTTCTCCATGAGGAAACAGGAATTCCAGTAATCATTCTCAGAAAAGAATATATAATCAAATTATATTTTTCTGGCTTACACTTAAAATTCTGAAATTTGAAAATTCTGAATATGGTTCTAACAATATGATTTGAGAGATGTAACTGTATTCAATCTCTTATTAAGATGTTGTCTTTTATTTTATTCTACATTATTTTATTCTACATTGTTTTATGTTCAAAATATTCATTGAAGTGAACAGGAATAAGCCATTAATAGTAAGTTACCATTTAATTGCTAGGAAAGTATGATGCTTACAATTTTCAAGCCAAATATGGTAAACATTTTGAATAATGTCTCAGAATTATTTATCAATTGTCTGAAAAATATTTTTACTTAAAATTATTCTAAGAAAGTGATTTTTCCCAGTATTTATAAATTTTAAAGAAAATATCTTCTTAAAGTAGGGTGAATTTAAGAAAATACACACCTTCACAGTTGGGATAAGTGTGCATTTAAAAAAAGTTTAAGGTAATATTATTGGCACTTTTGCCATTTCACTGAACAACTACTAATGTCTACTATTTATAAAATAGATATTTTCTGGATTTACAAATATAATTTGGACACCAATGCATCATTTGCAGTTCATTTATTCATATGTCTACACTGGGGAGAATTGCCAAGCCAATATTCTTTAGAGCTCTTTGTAGTACACTGTTTAATAATGATGTATTAGTGAAATGAATCAACACAGTCACTACAGCGATGAATGTAAACACAGCACAGGACGGCACATGACCAAAACAATACAAAATTAAGTCCACTTCATTCAAAGTGATTCCGACTTACAGTAAGCCTGGTCTAGTGGTAAGAGACTTCCCTACAATCTTAAAGACTCTTGGTTTGAATCCACCAGCTTTTCAGTGGAGAAGGCTGGGCAATCTCTGCCAGTGGGAGTTACTGCCTTTGAAAATCTCCAGGATGGTCACCTGTGAGTCAGTTCTCACTCATCAGCACAAAACAGACCCAATAGAAAAGGATAGAGTGTCCTATTGTGCTTCAAAGGATGCCATTTTTTCAGGGGCAGATTGTCACATCCTTCTCCTTCCAGTGCAGGTTGAATTTCAATTACCCACATTGGCTTGCTGCCAAGTGTTAACTAGCATACCACCAAGAATATTCAGATTAATGAAACATTTATATTTATTTATTACTGAAAATTATATATATGTATATATATACACACACCCATATATATATAAAAGATAGGGAAAGCACCTGATTTCCAGATACTCTGGGGCATACTGCCATAGTATTTTCTAGTTTATTTACACCTCTTTTAGAATAAAGGAACTCTGATGGTGATATGGCTAAATTGACGACTAACAAAACCTTCAGCAGCTCTATGGGGAATAAAATGAGACAGTTTGCTTCTTTAGATGTTCCAAGATACAGTCTAGGAACACTTTGGTGTAGTTCTACTTTGCCCAACTTGATGTCTA